AAGGTGATGGTCCCCGAGTACCACAGGGAGGACAGGAGTGGGCCATGCCCTGTGAGCAGCGAGCAATAGTCTGCAGCTCAGAGGACCGGGATGCCTATTTCCTCCCTCCTGCCCACAGACAAGCAGCCCAGGGAATTGTGGTCTCAGGGGGATTCCCTGTGAGGTGGCAGAGAAGCTGGGAGCAGCCTGGGTCTCCATGGGGGCCCACGCACAGGCACAGCTCGCAGCGATGTGTATGGACACGGATGTTGTCTTGCACTGGCAGGCATGGCCCCGTAGTGTGTGCGGCACTCCTCAGGGTATGTGGGGTTTGGCCTTCGCCCTTGTGGCTAGCCTGCTCCCAGCCTGTGCACCCCCCTTTCCCAGCAGGACATGTGTGTCCAGCAGGATCTCAGGCATGCTCAGGGGCTGCCTGTTGCATCCACGTGCTACACAGTTACGTGGCACGAGGTTGCACATACACAGAGCCCACCATGGTGCCCAGCCAGAGTAGCACGAGCAATAAGCTACACACACTTTCCCTCCTACCCCCTGAGCTACAGACCTCCCACCCCCACCCCTGAGTGAGTGAGAAAGACACCACTCACCTAAGGATACCTTCCTGGCTTCTGAGAAGGCTAGACATCCTGGCTAGCCGGCACTCGCTCCAGGGACAAGATGACGGTGTCAGTGGTCTCCTCATCCTCCGCTGGGTCGGCCAGCTGGCTCTCCCCCTCCTGCTTCTGCTCTGGCCGAGTGATGGCAGGGATCCCCAGGCAAGTGTCCATGAGTGTGGAGGAGGTTTCCTTCTCCTCATTCCCAGGATGCAGTGCAGCTGTCTCTAGTAAGGGCAGCCGGGGGGTCCTGGCTCCGGGCACTTGCTGGCCCACATGTATGAGAGCCTGAACTCTTTCACTTTACTCCAGACCTGCTCGAAGGTCCAGAGTGGGTGCCCTCGGTTGGCCAAGGCCTCCGTCATGCAGCCGAAGATCTCAGCATTTCTACACCTGGCCTGGGGATCCTGCAGGTCCCCACAGGTCCAAGAGGGCCTCTATCTCTAAGCCAGACCAGGCGGATGTGCGCCTCTTAGTGCCCCGGGAGGGTCCTGTGACCCCTGGGGCTGCTCCCCATGAGGGTCAGACATGCCTTATGCTGGCTGTGGCATGGAGAGCTGCGTGGAGGTAGCTGCTGCTTTGGAACAGCTTTCTGACACAGGGCTTCTGCAGGGGGTCGGCACCTTTAAGAGGGGCCAGCAGACAGGAACTATAGAGCTGTGATGAGTTTTCAGGAGTGTCCAGCAGAGTATGTGTGCTTTTCCCTGGAGGCCAGTTCTTGTTCAACACCCTCTGCAGAGTGGCCACACTACCCTTTTTGTGCAAGAACTCTAGAGCAAAAAGGCTTATTCCTGGTGGGGAGAGGAATAACTCTTGTGCAAAAAGCCCTCCCTTCTGACAATCTACTGTAAACTTTCTTGTGCAAGAAAGGGCTTGTAGTGTGGAAGCCTAGGTACCCAGCACCTGAGCTGCCAGCTTGCTTGGGAAGAGATCTGCATCTCTTCACATCCAGAGTAGACTTTTTCCAGGCTGACTGTTCCTTGCCTCTGAACAGCTGTGATTGCCAGCAGTTACAAATGACCAAACAGGTGTTTATAAACATGTCCTTTATTCTTAAGGTGGAAGTATTACAGAGAAAGCATACTGAAAGCAATGAAAATTGACCAGAGGTAATGTACATGAAAAAACTTCCCAGAGGACACCCCAATTCCAACCTTGGGATCAGTCCTTCCAAAACCAGATCTGCAGTTTTTCCTGTGGCTGCTAGTTCATACCTGTCTCTGATTCAGAACCAGAACAAGCAGGAATAGTTCAGCCTTTCCTTTAGATAGCTTGGGCCTTTGATATTGGCCTTATGTGATCAGCAGACATTGGCTCATGCCTCAGGCTATAGCTTCAGAATCCTGGGTTGTTACATAATCAGAACCAGGGAATTTGCATTCACCTCTCCTAGACATTTCCCAGGAAGTCCACTTCACACATATCATCTCCAGATACCATTTTGTCCTGCATGTTGCCCAATATAGTCCTTTGATCATCCAGGCCTTGCATCACATCTCCCAACTAGAGAGGTTAGTTATGATCCTGGTCCAAAATTGAACATAAGTCATTCATTTAATACAGTAGTGCCCAAAGATACTTAAACTTTGAGACTTTTCAAAGATTTTGTGGGAATTTGCGGTAGCAATCACACGTACAATTTATGAATGTTCTGCGTGATTATGAGAGCTCTGCATGTCTCCTTACCAAGCTGCAAACTGCATTTTGAAGGTGCAGCCTTTTGTCGTCTCTGTTGTCCTTTCATCTCCACCTATTGGACTGAAATTCCAACAAGTGTACAGGCAAAGGCCTAATCACAGAAAGTCATTAAATAAACGTGGTTTTATAATCTAGAAGGAAACACCCTGGACAGGGGAGATTGCTTTCTACCCTGGAGAACTGGTTTGTCAAGGAAAGCTCACCTGATAATAGTTACCTGGTAGCCCCTAAGGAGGAAGAGGAAAATGTATTCTCCTTTACTCCTGATGATAGGAGAAGATGCAATGGGCTTAAATGCCTCAAGGATGGTTTTGGAATATCCATCATGAAAGATTTTTAAAAGCAGGTTAGACAACTGTCAGAGATGGCCTGAGTGTTGCTGTGTCTTTCACAAGGGTAGGGGACTGGACTAGATGATTCCTTGAGGTTGCTGCCAGTTCTATTATTCTGTGAGTCAATGATTCTGTCTAGTACAGACACTGATTTAAAAACTAAATGTAGCTTCTCCGCAATGGCCTTATCTTCCTAAGGGCTTCTTTAGCACCTTGATCATCCAGTGGCCCTGATTGGAAGGTTTTTGCTTCTAATGTACTTGGGGAAAATTGCTGTTAGTTTTGTATAGTTTGTTACTTGCTCTTCCTTTTACACTTGACTTGATAGAGTTTACTCTCCTTTTTATTTTCCTCAGTGCAATATTATTGAAATTCATATTGTTTGCCTATTCTGGCAAATCCATGAGTAAATTTCTCCAATAAGGTAAAACTTGGGGAAATGTAACTGGAATGCCAAAAGCTTATCTGAGGCAGAGCGAGGATCACCCAATTTGGTATACAGCTTTTTCTTATCAAAACTTAAAGCAAGATAAGGAAAATGGGATGCAACTGGAATGGGATAGCCCCTCATAAAACCCTCCAGAAAAGAGACAGGATCACCAGCAGGTGAAAGGAGTTGGCTGTTCAGGACTGCCCCAGGCCTGAGCCTCCCAACCCTAGGCACTGTTTGGGTGGGACACGGAGATGCTGAAGCTCCCTGCTTCATTTGGAAACATTTCTGGCTGTTCCCCTTCATCAAGGAAGGAAGGAAGGGGAAAGTGTTCAGTTTGCTCCATTCCTGTGCTTCCCAGCCACAGTGAGAGGGCAGACAAACCTAACCCAGGATATGTACCTCTCCCCAGCTGTACCCAAAGGAGCTGCAGCATCTATGGAGAGGCACTTTTTACCTGTCCCCAAGCTGCTGCAGTGAGAGACATCTGGGCAGTCCTCTCTCCCCGGAGTAGCCTGAATATTGAACTCCTCATCCCAGCCCCAGCCCAGAGCAATGACTTAAATACAGCATGTACATTTTCATTTTATTTTCCAAAAAAACACAAATTATTTGAGTTAAAGACCTGAGCAGTGCCAGGTAAATCTTAGGGTACATCCACACTTCAAGCTTCTTTAGCAATAAACTATTCTGGAAGGTATCTTCTGGAGTAGCTTATTTTGAAATTAAGAATCTACACTCAAAAAGCGCAGCGAAATAGCGATTTGCTATGTTGAAATAGAGCGTCCACACTGATTGGATGCTATCTCGCACTTAATGCCACCCAGAACCAGTTCAGGCAAAGCATTAGGTCAGCAATTGCTTCCTGGAGCTGCTGCCTGAGCCTATATGAGACATTGGGCTCAGGGCTGCTGCCTGAGCCCTCTATACAGCCATTTCTCTGGTTCTTCTGCTTGCTTGCCTACCTCTCTGAGGATATGTCTACACTAGCCCCCTAGTTCGAACTAGGGAGGCTAATGTAGGCATTCAAAGTTGCAAATGAAGCCCGGGATTTAAATATCCCGGGCTTTATTTGCATCTTCCCGTCCGGTCGCCATTTTTAAATGCCACTAGTCCGGACTAACTGCCTGCGGCTGCCCGCAGCAGGGACCCGTTAGTTCGAATTAAAGCTCCTAATTTGAACTACTGTTAAACCTCCTTGGAGCCCCCAATGGGGAGGACTGCGGGCTCCTCGGAGTGGAAGCTTTCCTGCAACCCCCCCGATTGACTCCTCCCCCCGGATGGCAGCCTGCAGCAAGTGCAGCCGGGCTGATGGCCGAGTGCTGTGATGTGCCGAGTGTGGGCATTCAGGGCACTCCAAGCCACGACTGCTTTGCTGTCCCTCATCGAGTTAGACAAGCGAGCAGGGAACCCCTGAGAACTGTCTGTCCGGGGGAGGGGTCGGGTCCCTTTAAGCACAGCCCTCGGCTAGCCTGAGGCAGCAGTTCCACACTCTAAGTCCTAATCTGATGCCCTGCCAGCACTGCTTCCGGCCATCCTTAACCTTGGTTCAGGGTCCACTCAATGTGGACATCCTAATTCGAATTAGCAAAATGCTAATTCGAACTAGTTTTTAGGTCTAGATGCACTAGTTCGAATTAGCTTAGTTCGAATTAACTAATTCAAATTAAGTTAGTTCAAATTAGTGCTGTAGTGTAGACATACCCATAGTTAGTCATTAAGGTACCATGGGTATGTCTACACTAGCCTCCTAGTTCGAACTAGGAGGGTAATGTAGGCATACCGCCCTTGCAAATGAAGCCCGGGATTTGAATTTCCCGGGCTTCATTTGCATGAAGCCGGCCGGCACCATTTTTAAATCCCCGCTGGTTCGAACCCCGTGCAGCGCGGCTACACGGGGCTCGAACTAGGTAGTTCGGACTAGGCTTCCTATTCCGAACTACCGGTACACCACGAGGTGTAC